TATTATATTAAAAACTATTAATAAAAATATAAGCAAGGCCTCACCTTAATAACAAAAAAAAATATATATATAATTAAAATAATCAAGATTTTAATAATCAACAAGATACTTCTTATATTTAACTTTTAAGAGACTTATATTATTTTGGCAAAAATTAAGAAATTCGAAAAGTACATGACTAGTTTTAAAGTGTTCTATATTCTGAAGTTCTTAATAATCTTCACTTTTCATTTATTTAAGACCCCAATATACAAAATATTTATCCTTTCGTCTGTATTCGGGGCAAATTTTCCACAAATTTTGAATTGCCAATAAATTTTTCACACTACCGGCAAATTAATATAAATATATACTCCCAGTTTCTTGTATCACTAAGTTTGAAAACACAACATCGACACTCCCACAAAGCATCTTGGCAGCACAAACTCAAGGTAATGTTTGTGCATCAAAAAAAAAGTAGATGTTAAATAACCCGAACTCTACTATTGTAAAATGGCTTTTTTTATTGAGGTTTATTTATTTTTTTTTTAGACACTGTTACAGGCGATAGTATTGCTTCAGATTCACAATATATTTTTACTATTGAGCATAACCGTCATAGGGAAGAAATAATAGATCATGAACTTGTTACAACCGTTGAAATAGAAGAAGAGGAGTCATTTACAGAACAAAAACATGAAAGTTATTTTGATACAGATCTTGAAAGCGAACAAGCTGGTGAAACCAGTAAAAAGGCTCGTGAAAGAGGTGAAAAAATAAAAGGAGCCAGGAAGGCCGGAGAGGCCAAGGAGACAGAAGTAGAAAAAATGATCAAAAAAATAAAACATTTGGGGTGGGTGGACGGGAAAAAAAAACAATTAGTACAGAAAATAAATATGCAAATGAAGACGAAAATGAGACATTTAACGTTTCTGACTTACCAATTTTTGAGTCTATACAAAATTATCAAAAATATTATGAGAGTTATGTAACATTATCACATGAAATACAGCAAAGTATTGTTAGTCTACTTACCCTATTTCAGCTGTGTTTTACTGACCAACAATTGCAAATTATCATTAAAAATACAAATAAATATAAGCAATTAAAAGGTCATGAAGGTGGTCAAATCTGGAGTCCATTGACTTTAAAGGAATTAAAAATTTGGATTGTGTTAGTTATTTATATGGGGGTTTATAAAATCTATGTAGTGGAGGATTTATGGAATTCTAAAGATAAAAAGCCAACTCATAGTATTAAGGAGTTTATGTCGTTATATAGATTCCAGTAAATAAAAAGATTTCTTTATATTTCAGATCCAACTAAGTTTCAATCTTTTTGGTATTTAAAAATAGATCCCTTATTATCGCATCTTAAAGAAACTTTTAAGAAATTGTATGTTCCTTGTATACAAGTTTCTATAGATGAAATGATTGTACGATTTGCTGGCTGGAGTATATATACATTTAAAATTAAAAATAAGCCAACACCACAGGGTTATAAAATATTCTCACTTTGCGATGCAGGTTATACGTGGTCTTTTTTTTTTAGTTCACGAGTTAACAAAAATTTACAATTAGAATATGTTGAAAATATTAATGAAGCAGGACACATAGTTTGAAATTTAGCAAAACAGCTTCTAAAAAAAAGGAATTTTCATATTTACATGGATAACTATTTCTCAAGCATTTTGCTTTTTAAGCATTTGCGTAATAATAATCTAGGTGCTTGTGGCACAGTCTGTATTATTTCTAGTAAATTTCCCAAAGAATTAAAAATTGAAAAATCTTCTTCTTTAAACTGGGATACTCTTTATGGTATAGTTACTGATGATGTGTTAGTTGTTTTGTAGGTTGATAACACTTCATAATATTATTGGTGATGAATCAAAGATTATTCGTAATCGACGCCGTCCACGCGAAACAAGCACTAATGCAAAAAAAGTACAACAAGTTTTTGGTGATTTACCAAGAAAAGAATTAGCAATTCCACGATTAATTGATGATTATAATAAATATATGGGTGGAGTTGATATTATGTTGTTTTTTCCAATTTGAGAAATTAATACAATATGGTTTCCATATTTGTTTGAAAGTAAGTTCATTGATTCGAATTAGAATTTTAATAATAGTTTGAGAGGCCAGTTTGTATGGAATTTCATATTGTT